GCCATCAGGCCTTAAGGGCGCAGGGTTTAGGCAACCCAGGTCCTACACGCATCTGACGGGTACTCCACGCATTGCTAAACGGTTCGATCACAAGTACAGCGTCTATTGGACTTTTTACAAGGTGGAATGGGGATTTACGATACTAGGGGGTACCTTGATGAGGGTCCTTACTACGAGGGATCCCCAAAAAGCTCTGACTGTTTGTACACTATGCATCGTTTCTCCAGAGACCTATAGTCACCCTCTGGATGGAAAGTGCGGTTTCTTGCGGCTTTCTCTTCCCTTCGCAGGCAGATGTAGATGGGTCTACACACCAAAGAACCGGAGTAACAGAAGCTAGCAAGATGTACAACTACGGAATAGACTATGATACTACATGGGTTTATAGCCACAGCATACTATGATCGGACATTCTGAAGCCATCTGAGAGTCCTCCAAGGCATGGGCAGCTTGAAAGAATCCTGGAGCACGGAAGTTGCAAAAATCGTATACTGTATTAGAGTATACGATTGGAGCATGGCCTCATATTCCAGTACATCACACACACACACACACGCAACAGTATGCCTCACTATTTTTTCTACCTCGGGTGCAAGACTAACTTTTTGAGGTGCCAAAGAACACGGGTCCAAGTGCTCACGGAGCTGCCGACGTGATACATTTACTCGATGCAAACTGGAGAATCTTTGAGTCTTTGAGCATCTCGAAACAATGCAGTCATGACAATGAGGGACACTACCGAAGCAGGGTCTGCAGATGTTGGCAACCTGTACTGTGCAGATCTGTGCAGATCTGTGCAGATCTGTGCAGAGTGCAAACATGTGCAGACTATAGTTGGACCTAGATTCCCAGAAGCAGCCGGTGAGAAGTTCAGCTCCCGCGCGAGTGGTAATGAGATGGTGAGCAGCAGGCTATGCGAAACACTGATCCTACAGGGGGGATGCGGGGCGGGAAAGGGGCACGGAAGAATTGATTTGGTTACAAGTGGCTCCGGGGAAATGGGGTTCTTACATTGCACCCCTGTCTACAATGAGGACATCATCTCTTCGCAACAAGGAGAAACCTTTCCAAAATGGACCCAGGATCAGGAAGGAGGTGCTTAGGTAAGCCAATTGCCCGCCACGTCGGCTCTGGGAGCAGCTGATCCCGCACATCTCTATGGCCCAAAGCACTGCGCAGACACAGCCCAGGCAAGCCATACCAAAACCTAGATGCACCTTGACAGCTTTTGGAATCGCATTCTTTTAACTTCACTTCCAGTCCAAACTTCATGCAGGGCTTAGGGCTTAGAAAAGTTTAGTACAGGGATGCCCCAAAATCAATGCTTGTGTCAGGGTCTCAAGACATGTGCTCGATCGACGAGCGTGCGTTGCTCAATCCACTCCCGGTTCCGAAGAGCCTCTTTGCTCTGTGCCAGGTCCCGTTGCTCATGCGTCTTCAAATCTTTCCAGGCCGAAGCGTTGGCAGTTTCCTGGGTTCATGTCACACAGGGCAGGACTCAGCTTTACATCTTGTATGCCCGTGCAGAGTTCACATTTGTGTGGCAGCACATATCAGCGCACGGCCGCGCCAAAGAAAAAAAATCCAGATTGGTATCCGGGGTCTGACACATCCACTACCAGCTGCAGTAAACAGGCATCTTCTTCCAAATGGGTCTGGCTCCAAGCTTGTCCGCCATGCAGCACTGCGGCTGCGACACAGACAAGCAGCATCAAGTGACGGACTTCGATGCGGCGACATGGAAAGGAGGTCGAGGAACGGTTTCTCCCTGAGATCCAAAAGCGCCCGGTCATGAGAAAGCACATGCGATGGAATGAACTGTCCACCTGCATGCCCAATCAGTTGGGTTGCGACGGTTGTGATTCTAACGTCCAACGTTTGTAGACCTTTCCATGCACGATCACCATGCAAGGCAGGTAGAAAAAAACCCATGAAACGCTTTACACTTTACACATCCATGCCATCCTTGAATGATGTGAACGTGTTGCTTCAAAGACGTGAGCTCTCTCCAACACCCGCTTTTATCACCATCTGCGTCCTGGAAGAAGTCGTGTGCCACAAGAGCCGGGAGCCTATGCAGCGTGGCATAGCGTGGCTCAGTCATTGAGCACGAATCAGAATTGAACAAGTGCAGCAACAATGTGCGGCATGGGCAAGCTCGGGTCTCCAGGGTTTCCCCGCCAGGAAGTTGTGCGATGCTTCGCCTTTGCACTTACTGTATTACGCCTTCACACTTACGGTGTTGGCGTCAAGGAGATCGAGGTCCCCAACGGATCCCTTTAAGTTTTCTACTGGGACCCCTTCATAAGGAGCCCTATAAGGTACCCCTGAAGGTACCCCTTGATATCGTACACCCATATAGCTGAATATAACTGTGGGTTCGGGTTGGAGGTGTGGGCTTGGTGGGAACAGGCCGAAAAACAATGATGTGCGATACTGTTCTTGGGCTTTTTATGAAATGTTTATAGCCGAAACAACCGATTCTCTTGATTTGGGACTTCCACGAAGAATTGTGCAATATGACTGAGCAAAGTGATGTTGTGAATGGTGTTTGAGGCCCGGTGGAAACAAGAAAACTTAATATACTCACGGATGCCTTAAGGGACAAAAAGAATCTGACAACTTTTTACTTTTAGTATCAACCCGGTTGAAGGGCCTCCATCATCCCTGATGGAAGTCCGACTGCAATTCAAAAGAATGGGCACTCGGCAGCTAAATGGGAGGGCACGTTACAACACCTCCGCAAGAGTTCGCCAAGAACCCGCAACACATTACTTACACTTGAGTTTCTAAGCGATATCATCTGACGCTGGGCTGTCTAATGAGTCGTCGCCACGTGGCTCAGTACAGGCGACGAGATGCAAATCAACGAGCTTCTGCCCTTGATAGTAAGCCTGAGTCTTCCCTACCAGAAAGAACTTGGGTCCTCCAAAAGCCCTCCAGCACATAAAGAATGAGCTGGTGTCTGTAGGGCAAACATGGGCCACAGCATTCAGCTCTGAACATAGTGTGAGAGCTTTCTGGCACCTATGTGCCTTGTCTTGGCACTGCATACTGATCTGAAACCAGTAACCTTCCTTCGCGGCCCACTCTGAGTCAAACTCTGCTCACCCCACAGTCCTGTTCAAACCTGTGACCTTTCAGACGCGGCGGAGATTCAATTTTCAAACGCTGGAAACTGTGGAACGGCCTTGTGACAGCAGCTGTCAGGAGTTTCTCGGCATCCTCGGGCACGCCTTGCCTTGACGTCTGCCTGAGTTCAATGCGGGCTCAAACCTCAGAGAGGACTTCAAGGATCCAAAGCCGATCGGGCTTAGGTCCTTAGGTTGAACTCCCCAAAGGGCCAAGATGAACGGCAACGGGAAATCCATCTTAGAGTACCTTGATTGCACTTCATACTTTTACAGTTCTTCTTTGACGAAGTTTCTCCTTGTTAAGGGTACCCAGCTGCTGTCCATGCACGCGTAGTTGCAAATTTCCATCGATACTGAAAAGTATTTTGCATGGTCGCGCCTGCTAGCGTTTCCAGCTATTGCGCCTCGTGAGTGCCAAAGCATCAATGTCCGCACAATTAAAAACGTCCATGTGACCAGAGTGCGGCAAGCGAATCCATGCCCGCCTGATAGGATCGTCCCTGTTACAAGAGAATCCAGTGGAATGCACATGCACGTCCATGTTACCCATGCCCGCATGCTATGAATTCTCATGTTACCGTAGCAGCCAGTGGCCAGACAGTCCACCTGCCCGATAAGAACACCCATGAAACCAGAGCAGTGGAATCCATGCTCACACGATAGGAATGTCCATGTGACACGAGCATCCCGTCGCCAGAGCAGCCAGGCCCGCACCATGAGAAGTCCATGTTACCACCGCATTCATGCCCGCACTTATTCGAACCATGCTAAAATGGAGCATCCGGGCAAACACCGCTTCTGGGCAGCTGGAAACCTTTGCAGGAATTCAGGGTGTTGTTGAGGTTAAAGGACTGGTTCTGTCATAGCTTAACAAACAGGGTTTCAAGGTTCTTTTGAGAGTTTCCGCACTCGCATGGCATGTTTGCCCCAAGAAGGGAGATCCCTGGCCGTGCATTGGGCAACCTACATGACCACTGTACCAATAGCTTTACTGAGCGACAACGCAGAAGTCACTCGTGGCAGCAGCCGTGGCAATGATGAAAACGCATAAGATAAGCTCAATCGAGTCATGGCAAGTAGATGCGATACGTCATGGTAGCAACGAACGCAATCACTGAAACGAGAGTTTTTAAGAAGAGTACGATCCCCCATGCAGCCGAAACCTCTGCGGATGGCAAAGCTCCCGATGACGAACACACGTGCCTCTCAGTCAGCCTACTCGTATCAATACAGATTCCATTGCACCACTTAACAGAGTGCTGCGCATAAGGGTGGGGCGGTTGACAGGCAGCTTGCTGAATGAAGGTTTGCTTGAAGAACCTTTGAAAGGCGCTCTTCAGGACTATGTCTGTCTAGCTCTTTAAGATAGAGCAGTGCAAATGTAATGGGAAGCATACTTTGAGAGGACTCTGCAATACTATACCGCGATGAGGCCTAAACCCGACACCCTTGGACTCGGGGAGTAGACTGGGAACTTTGTCGTGCAAATAGAAGTGTCACCGCAGCTGGCCATTCTTACTGGCTGGCCCACAACGAAAGTTAGATTTATCCTGGTTGGGATATCTTGCGGCAAATATATTTCATGATATCTTTCGGGAACCCGTTGCATGATCCGATATTGTCCTATAGGCCATGCGCTGCTTTTGTCTCACGCTCTCTGCGTCTGGCGCCCTCCTCGCTGTCTGCGTGATGGGGGGGGCGCCCACAAGTTCGGAAACAGAAGGCTACAGGAGCCAGATTCGACGTGGCGTCTATGGCCTATGCTCCGGCAAGCCAACAGCTTTCCTACTAGCCGTGGTTAACATGAGCTTATGCTCAACGACGCAAACCTGAGGAATTGTACTGAGCCATCTAAACTTCATACAGTCAAGAAAGCTCTAAGCCAGCTTGCATGAAGCAACCGCGACACGAGTCCACGGTAACATTGAATTTAAGCAAATTATGTTCAAAGATCCTGCGAGCTTCTTGGTAGACCAGGCCGTCGATCTGGTCATGAAACCTGGACGGGACCCTCATCAGTAGAAGGAGTCGTAGTAGCAGCAGTCAGAAGCAGAAGCAATGTCGTATTGGTGGTAGGAACAATATTAATAACAATGGTTTCGGGGTGTTGGTTTCCGCTTCCCCGAATCGACCATGGAAAAAACAAAACAAAAAAACTTTCTGGAACCCTGTTAGAATACCCGAAGCTATAGGGAAAGCACTATAATCGGGACCCCCCCAAAAGGACCGTAAGCCAGAACAACCCCCCCCCCCCCCCTTTAGCATATGAGAACCAGTGCCCAACTCCAGGATGAGGTCTGGAAGCCCCTCCAGCGGCGTTGTGTCATAGAGGTCCTCTGCGCTCTTGCCTGGCTTGCTGAACTGACGGAATGGCTCACACAAAAAAACAGCCAGGAAAGCTTAGCATGCGAAATAGCGAGATTCTCCACTTTGCTGGCATACTAGTGTGCAAGCTTACTAGATCATCATGCCAGGCCATTCTACTATATCATTATACCTGGAGGAAGTATGGAGTTCTGGCTGCAGTGTCATACGCTATCACTCTTACAACCCCTCTGGGGCAATAGATGGCAATAGCAACCCAAAACGAGTTTCGAAATGAAAATCATGCACTTGCAACTGCAAAAACCATAGTGACAGTAGCAGCACTACTCCTTGCATAGTTCACAGCTGACACCATCATCATCGTCCCTTATGTCCCTTTTCCAGCTGTAATCACGCCAGCAGTTGTAATGACATGGAATTCGGCGACATAGGGGACCGAAGGGCCTGAAGGTGTCTGGGAGGATGCTTCCTACGCAGGTTCAGAAACAGCACCTCCATACTTAGCTTTGAGATACGAAACTATAAACGAAGTAGTGCTAACAGGTAAACTTGAAGCACAGTCAAGAAAATACTTCTAAGAGGATCAAAATCATACTAACGGAGCATATTTAGACCAGACATGAAGCAACTAGCCGACATCTCGTTTTAGGGCTTAGGGCTTTGTGTATAGGACCGCCAAGTTAACATCGATTGCTTGGTCATTCTTCTTAGGACCTTTCAGAGTTTCGGGACCAATGTTACAAAGCCAAACGCGCACACAACAAACAACACCAACATTTCAATCAACAAAACAAGTAGCTGGCCTAAACGGTGATCTCGAGTCCACCGCAAAACTTCTTCCAGCAAGCCTTAAATCAACCTGCCTCTACACAAGTAAACGTCGCAAGAACAAGGTGTAGCGTATGATTTTGCAGCCTGCACATGATAGACTCAGACTTGCTTTTCCCGGATTATGATCCCTCTTCTCAGGCTGTGTAGGTTCCGCCAGAACCTCTAGTAGCAGCACTACTACTGCTGCTGCTGCTACTACTACTACTACTACTACTACTACTACTACTACTACTACTACGCTATAGTCACGTTAGCGACGGTGCACTCTTCCATGCTTCCTAGTGTTAAAACCTAGGTTTCGCGCATATTCCATGCTCCAGTCCTCGTTCCCTTTTTCTTGTTGTTCAATGTACTTTCAAAGTACGCGTGGCTGGCTACAACTCTGTCGGACTTGTCGTGTCTGTCCCTGGCACGCTTCTTCCTTGGGTGCTGTCGACCGGAGCAGCGAAGTCCGCAAGCCTGTGCCAGCTGCTTCTTCAGCGACCGGAGAACCTGTGCTGCCGCACTCTTGCAGGTTTCCAGTCGGTGACCCTTGCCATTACAGGCACAGCCCGGTGCACCTGGCACCCTTGGTTGTGCCCTTGAACAAGTGGCCGCTTCATCGCTTCGCTCAGTGTCTTCCAGCTCAAAAAGACAAGATAAAGGGAAATCTGCCAAACGCATGGTTTTCGTCACTGTCCTGCGCAACCAACACACCGTCGCGTACGCGCCGAGCACGTACTACTACTACTACTACTACTACTACTACTACTACTACTACTACTACTACTACTACTACTACTACTACTACTGCTACTGCTACTGCTACTGCTACTGCTACTGCTACTGCTACTGCTACTGCTACTGCTACTGCTACTGCTACTGCTACTGCTACTGCTGGTGCTTCTGCTGCTGCTGCTGCTGCTGCTACTGCTACTGCTACTGCTACTGCTACTGCTACTGCTACTGCTACTGCTGGTGCTTCTGCTGCTGCTGCTGCTGCTACTGCTACTGCTACTGCTACTGCTACTGCTACTGCTACTGCTACTACGACGACTACTACTACTACTACTACTACTACTACTACTACTACTACTACTACTACTACTACTACGACTACGACTACGACTACTACTACTACTACTACTACTACTACTGCTACTACTACTACTACTACTACTACTACTACTACTTCTACTTCTACTTCTACTGCAGCTACCACTAGCACTCATGCGAATACAGGGACTCCATGACTCCTACTACTATTGCAATGAATTCTACTACCTGGCTCGGGCCTGGGGACGCGCTTCTGGTGTCCTCGAAGTCAGTAGCGCTGCACTGGCCACCGAACATGGCGTGGAACAGACCTTCGTCTGATTCGCTGTCATAGTCGTTGTCGTCGTAGCAGCAGTAGGGGTAGGCGTAGGAGCAGGAGGGAGGAGGAGGAGTAGCGTAGCAGTAGAAGTAGCAGCAGCAGTCGTAGTAGTAGTCGTGGTCGTAGTTGTAGTAGTCGTCGTCACACTAGAAGCAGGAGTTGAAGCGGTATTACCACAATGTGTCAATCAAAATGCTCACCGCCCACCTGACCATAAATACATTGTAGGCCTGCGGGGATTGTCGAAAGGCATGTGGGAACCACAAGAGGCAGAAACCATGCCTGTGTGAGAGCTTCTCGATGCTCGTAGTCCGTGCCCTCAGCAAAAAAGGTACCCCTAGCCTTGAGAAACTTCATTCTTGTCGACCCAGGAGCAGATGGACAAGTCCCACTCCTCTGTGATACCCACAAAGGCAAATCCGTCACGGACGCGCTGCGCGGCTTCCTCCTTGGCTTCTTTGAAGTCATAATCCTAGCAAACAATATGACAGCAACTGCTATTTTTATACTTTAGTACCCTACATCACTAAATCCTACAATAGACGATCTCTGCCATGAACTTCTGTATCAAGTTTGTAGAACGATGGAAACTCTGCGGGGCAGCCTGACAGACTGCATGAGCTTTCAGAAGATGATCTGATAGCAAATTCCAGCAGAAAAGAACGCTGGTGGCCAGACTGTTTATCTGTATGCAGGGACAAACTTCGGCAAACCACACCTGAGCCTTTGAAACCATCGGGCCCAAAAGGTATGTTTTTTGCGGGGGTCAGAATGTCTGTGCTTTCACTAATTTACTATCATTATCTTTCACTACTAATTACGGCTACGTACTCTACTACAAAACTCCTTCATACTCCTACGATTCACGCGCAGCTGGGCTTCAGCCATGGCCATGGTCCTTTCCGGGATGTGCGCCAGGCCGGGGATCATCCAATGCCCACCCTCCCACCAATCTTCGAGTCCTCACGCTAAGATTGTGCCCTTACAGGAGGCACTGATGTCCTACCGTCCTACCTCTGTTACAAGTTTACCTGCCAGAGGCCTGCGAAGGGGTTTGCTGCGGACGTGTGTTGCGAGCCCTGACAGCACCAGCCCCACTTCATGTTGCGGAAGCTGGTTCAAATGCATGTAAGCAGTGGTCCCGAGATTGTGGGGGGATGGGGCGGAGGTGGACTGTGCAACACATCTGACGCAGCTGCTGTGGGTCGAAGAGGTATTCGGCCATTAGGCCGTCCGGAGTCTGTCAGCCTCGTATACCATAAATAGCTCCTGAGATCCTGGTGACCGAGTGAGGTGAGTCGTGTGCCATGGTCGATCGTCGATCCTGACGCGTGCGACATCGTGCGACCGACAGGAGGGCGTCGACCTCCGCACTCCGCAAGCCCGGGAAAATGGGGCAGAGACAGGATGTGGACGTGAATGTGGTGGCTTTTGCTGTCGAGCACGGGGCACGTGGAGGACGTTTCGAACTTCCGTCTTGTCGTGTCTTTACGAGCTGCTCACCTGTCGACCAAAGGCTGAATGAAGTGCGCGCCTCCCTAGAAACTTGACAAGAACATGTAAGAATCAGCTCACCGAATATTTCCGCTTACGATTTTTGTCTTGCCCGAGTCCTTCTCCTACCAGTTGGTAGGCCACGGTCCCAGCAAAATATCGAGCAAACATTGGTGCTGGTGGCTTTGTACTGTTTTGCCCTGTGCAGTCGGTTCCAAGTACCATCCATGTGCGCATCTCGTCATGGTAGGCCGAGAGACACCGCTGCTCAGGCTGCCGAAAAAACCCGACCATGTGGCCCCGAAGCTCTTGATACCTGCTGCCGATGCACTCGTGCGGACTCGCCTGACAGCGCATGTGTGTGGGATCGCAGAGGTCGTGGCAGAGCTTGAAGAAGTTGGTGATGAAACGGCATCCAAGGCTTTCCTCGTTCACGGAGAATGTTGGAGCCAGCACAGGGCAAAAGCCAGGCATGTGGATGAGGGTGTTGACGAAGCTACCTTGGTCCAAAGGGTTCTTACCGAAGGGCCGATGCCCTCAAGTCCAAAATGCTGCGTTCTTGATGTAGACCTTCAACTAAGCAAGCACCTTCATAGAGAACCATATTTACGATTTTACTCCCTTGTGGTAACTTTAACCCTCGACCCTACACCCTAAAACATAGTAAATGATCAAAATTTAAGTGCGGCAGCGAGAACCCAACAAAACTCCAGCAAGATCTCTTTCATCCCAGCGACTCCCGGCTTTTGGAAAGTGCACCCAGGTCCTTGGGCAGTCCAAGGGTCTAAGGTTGCTGAAACGGTTTAACTTCTGTACATGTCCACGTAACTTGGGCGGACTTGCACACATATTTTAAGTATGTTGTGTCTAGCCGTAGGTGCCTCGCCCTATCACTGTAGCAGGTACGCAGACTTAAAAGCAAGACTTCTTTTGCTTGTTAGTTGGCATGTAAAAGCAACGCAATGCACCTGCATATGTGCACGCCGCAGTTGGGCTGGGCTTGGGCTGCGGGAAGGGCATCTGGGAGTCGGGACCGTGTAGAAGGCACAGCACCGGTTTCGACCACTACTGATCATGGGATTGCAAGTGCACCCCGAAGTGCTCTGCCACAAAGCATAGCTCCAGGCGGAAGCTCAGGACCAGAGGCCAACACCAGCGCACATCAAGCCGCATCAAGTGAGGCCCGTCCGGCTACGGATTTGAGCGGGGGGTGTTCGGGGGTATAGAAGGTCAACTGGAGAGACCTTCCCCTGAGGGTGAGATCATCACGCTATCATAAGATCCCCAAGGGACCATAACGCAGAACTTCCCATGTCCCACTTGCTTGTCCTGTGCAAGTTCTTGCCAAGTCAATGCCGTTTTGCTGCCAGTACACACACACACACACCCACGCCTGCACGCGCGCACGCGCACAGAGACACAGAGACACAGAGACACAGACAGCCTCCTTGTTGTGTTGTTCCTTGCGCGAACTGTGTGCCATTGAGTGAACCCCCCTTCGCCCTAGAAAGTCTTGCTGACATGTTCAACATGGCTGATGCCCTGGTCCGTTGAACGGCAACCCTAAACTGCTAAAGGACCCTAACCCTAAACAATCTGTAAACCTTCTGGTTGATGGCTGATTTCTGAGGCAGAAAGGTTCCAAGTTCAAGCCAAGGGTCATGGGCTCTGCCTGCTCCCGCTCAGGGGCGCCACCGACGTGCAATTGCAACCTCGAATGTGAAAATGTGAACTAAAGCTTGCTGGTTACAATGACTACAATACATTTTGGTGGAGAACTTCAGGAAATGGGGTTTTCGCAAAACCGCTCTCTCCTACATTTCAGATCTCGTGCAAAAAGGATCCAAAAGAGATTCCTTTGCCCTTGATTCCATTGAGGCCGTTTCATACTTGCATCTTTTGCTCCTTTGTGCGGGGTTTGCGCAGTCTCTCGCGGCATACTCTGGCGTCAGAAGCATCCAAGCGTCCATGACGGGTCTTAGCTTGGGCTGTGGGGACCCTAACAAGGATTCGAGGCTGGGTTCCACAAACTTTTGGATATGAATCGTGGCCTGTCCATGACTTTAATCTCCTTTCCTCCCTGCAGAAACTCCAGGCCACATCTGACGGACTGCTTTGCCTTTAGACTTCAGTTACGGGTAGACTCCAAATGTCTGGCAAAGGCCGAAGGCCGAACCCTCAACTGGAGCAGTGAAGCCGTTGCTGCAGCAGCTCTAGCCCATGCTCCTGGGCCAAGGACCTGGGAATCTGGGTCATGCGGAGCTCCCACTTATTGAAAACATATGGAAACTAAAAGGCGGGAAAAAGAGGATGACCTAGAGGAAAAAAAACACAGCTTCTGCTCCAAAAGGCTCCTGGCTCTCAGCTTCCCGCAGCACTTGGAGGATGAAGAGTGGCCAAAGGCCACAAGGCAAAAGAACCATGGGGAGCTCATGGGGAGCTCATGGGAGAAGCTTAAGGGACTCTTATAAGGGTCAAAGACGGTCTAAGAGGGTCTAAGGGAGCTGAGGGAAGTCAGAAATTTCTTGTTGGTCACCTTGCTTCCGCACATTGAGGTTGTAGGGCCCAGAGTAAGGATCACTTCAGGAGATCTTGCGGGAGGTACCGGGCACATGAGATCGCCAGCCATGCTTTCTGCAGCTCCGCTTACATGCAGCCTAGCTGGGCTTAACTACCGAAGTAACATGGAAACAGTTCAGTTTGGGCCAGATCTCCAGCAAGATTCCCTCTGGAACCGTCGAACTGACTGCACGGATCGCCGCTCGCTTACTAAATCCTTACTGTAGCGGATCGCCAGCCTTCATGAATATTGATGCGTGGATCCCCCGCCTCAGTGATTGGGGATCCCTATTTCAGAGTGATGCAGAACTGGAGAGCTAGCTATGTCAAACGCCAACATCTACATAGGCCAGGTGCTCTGCGCAACAAAGTCACCGGCCATTTTGCTGATTGTGGTCATGCGTGTGACGACCAGCAGGTACAGCACACGGAGTCAGGAAGAATTCATAATACTAAACGGGTGCGGAGCAAGAGCACCTACGGCTAGTGCCCCTCGCGTCATTTCACAGCGCAACGCTCAGAGCATTCAAGATGTCAAAAATAATGTCCTGAGTGTCCTCCAAGCCGATTGATAGGCGCAGCAGGTTATCGGCAATGCCCGCCTTCAAGTCGGCTCCTGTCCCGGCGAACATCGTGTATGGCCTGGGGGCTGCTGCGCCATAAAGAATGATGTGGGGCTCTTAAAGGAATCTACGAGTCACCTCCTTGCTAGGATCCTGTTGTAGCCCTTGCAGTACGTATTCATACAGCCGAGGGCTCACAAGGATAATCCAAAAAAGTGTGTAGAGGGGACTCTGGCTGGGCAAATGGCCACTGCCTCGTTTAGGAAGGCTTGGCAGGCGGATCAGAATTAGGCAGGTGCTGTTCATAATGAGTATACTATACTGGGAGACCCAATGAGCAACCCTAATTTAAAGCGAGAGTGTTGCAGAATCACGCATGATTCAGAAGTCTGCGTCACCGAACTTGTGCCGCAGCATTTTCTTCCCGAAGTACTAGGGACCGGGAAGGCATGTAAGGACGTGGCAAAATCGAGAAGCGTACAACTTGTGCATTTGAGGTATGTGCGCACTTCCGCACTGAAAACAGCTAGTTCTGCATTTGGCATTCGCCAGAACCAGAAGTTCTCGAAGATGTTTGCGGAAGGAAGAGATGAATGTTGCTGGCCACGTGTTGCAGTCTTGCTCTCCGTCATGAGAGCCAGAAGAAGACCTGAACTGTTGAAAGTGAGCTTCACATTTGGGCACATTGGGTCGAAAGCACCACAGGGCTTTGTTCCTGCCCTTGGGAAATTTCTCGTCTTGCCTTTGCTTTCTGCTCCCGGAGGCCTGCGACTTTGAAAGGAGTTCTCGGGATGTTCAAAACTTCACGTCCCAACTAGCAGCGCTTCTTCGCGAGCTCACGGGGGGTCACGGATGCAAACGCAGGTTCAAGTCCGCGCTGAGTGTGTCTCCGCGTTGCCTTTCCTAGAACCCTTGATGATCATGGAGTCATCTAAACCTCGGCCTCAGCCAGGCCTGAGCCATGAAATCCAAGTGCTCTTGAAGTTATCCAACGATTTCCTTTCGTTCTTTGATCTTGTACGGGCCAGTGCCTTCCCAAAAGTGCTCATGATTGGCAGCTACAATCTTTTCGACTTCTGCTTTCGGGACATGCTTCCGATATTCGGATGCATCTCAGCAATGTCAAAAATATCGTTGAGGAGAATCTCGATGCGCAACTTTACCTCATTTTCGTCAACGGTCTCGGAGAACTCTCCGAACGTGGGCCTATTGCGACTTCCATCTCACAGAGAGACTTTGGACACTTTTGGCATCAATTCTCCATGCCTGATGCGACATTGATTCCACTTGGTATCTCACCTGCTGAAGCTTCAGTTTCTTTGTGCGATGACAATGAAATGTTTCAGGGAGTTGAACTAGAACTCCCCTGAAGCAACCCTAAAGCCTAAACCCAGATGTCGAACCAAGGTAAAGAAGTCGGGCCGTCGGGACCATATCATCTTCTTCGTACATACTTCCCATAGATACCCTTTTGGTATTCTTTCTTTCTGGACTACTATGCTAGTAGATCTGTATACCCAATGGCTGTTTGTTTAACTCTTCACATACTTACTATATTCATGTTATGTTACCTTTGATAGCTCTTACACACAGTACATTGCTATACTGCCATGTTCTCATATATTTAAGCTTTTTATGTTGCAAAAATTCGTGTCTAGAATCCTTAAAGGGCGGTCGCACACCCCGCCTCACGAGCATTGTGTGATTCCAACTCATTTGGGAAGCTGATCTGAGCTCAGGGCACCTCAATGGTAGTGCAACAATCCTTGGCTGCGCGCATGACTTCTTAAAGAATGGCATCCGCAAGTCCGCTGTACAGGTTCTCAGCATGTTCGGGGAAGCATTCAGTACTCGTTGAAGTCACACGGGCAAAGGCGCAAGCACTCTCTGTTCACAGGGTTACTCGGAGATGCCAGCATCCAGTAGAAACGGTGGAAAGGAGCCAGCAATTTTCAAATTCGACCTGGCGTCCCCAAAGGATCCAACCAGTTTGATCAAGTGTAAGCAATCGAGGAACTTGATGACGTCGTCCTGGCTTCACGGCTACATCAGCAATGACAATGAAGTGGCACTCCACGCCGATCTTAACTTGCGGAATTCGCTAGATACCTGCTCTCCCTTACATGACCAATCTGAATTCCTGAGTAGATCCCTGTAACGGTTTTTTACCAACCGCTTCACTACAGCATACGAATGTTGCCGTAGCAAATGGTATACAAGACTTTCGCATGTGACAAGTGCGGCAAGTGCAAGCTGCGACTCGCCGTCTGAGAGCTCCCTCAAATGCCTAGTGTACCTCTGCCTATAGGCTCCCTAAGACCTTTTCCAACCTCGGACATGAGCCGGGCGAGTGATGCAAGCACATAGTTGCGCATTCACATAGTTGCACGCTCCAGGTTCTAGTTGCTCTCATTTTTGGAGAAGCCTTTAAAAGTATCACCTGATGCTTGCAACATCTTGCAACAAACTTTGCATGCCTTCCAAGCTTGGGCCTTCTGGGCATTGACGTAGAAGGCAATCATGTTGCCGGGATGAGCTTTCATCTCAGCTGTCCCTTGGAATCCCAAGAAATGAACCTGAGCTGGCAAGGCCAACAGACTAAAGCCTCAGAAATACTGAACTTAAGAGCGCAGGGGGCAACGTCAATGAACCAACAATCACCCGCGCTTTTTAGAGACTCTGTACCTGAAAACGAGGAGTGGGAATACCCTCCACCGCCTCCACCCCTCCTCCTCCGCTTTCGGGGTTTGGGGTACCGTCATAACCTCTGAACTTCTGAACAGCATCAATGTCTGAACATCTCTCAGAACTCAAACTGCAAGCTGAGACTGTTTCTCACCTTGCCCTGGGTCGAACCTCTGCTAGAACCTCTGCTAAGCCCACAAGCGCCACACCAGGGACTCTTTGGCTTCCGTCTTAGGGTTTGGGCGTTTCTTTGCGGAGCTCCCGCATAGCTGGACGAACCCGGCTCGGCAGGCTTTAATCGCTCGCACCAGGACAGTCCAGGCGAGGCAGACACGATCTATCAGCAAGACCGGAATGTATGGCCATGACGTGAACTAGATAACACTACCAAGCATCTTGACACCAAAGCTGCCACCACACTACCCCAACCTACCAGGCTTTTCAGTTCAACCAGATTCTGCTCAACTCATCATTGCCGCTTCATGTCCCCATCACGCCTGCCCAACTGTCCTGGATTCAAGGCTGCAAGACGGACAAGCCGGAATGATTTTTTCAAGGACGGCCTGTCCCCCCCCCCCCCCCCCCCCCCCCGGCCCCACTTGAAGGCCTAAAAGAAGAACAAGCCGCTTTTTCCGGGCCTGGAAAAATCATTCGCCCCCTCCCCCCCCCTCCCCGGCACCCCACTTGAAGGCTGCAGGAAGGACAAGCTAGATTTTTTCGGGGCCTGGAAAAATCCCCCGCCCCCCCCTCCTGACCCCCTCCCCGGTCACCCCCACTCAAGGCTGCAAGAAGCACAAGCCGGAATGACTTTTTCGGAGCCTGGAAAAACCATCGCACCCCCCTTTCCTCCCCCACTCCCACTTGAAGGCTGCAAGAAGGACAAGCAGGAGGCCTGGAAAATTATTCGCACCCCCCCTCCCCCCCACCTGAAGGTCGCCCTGCCTCGCCTGACAAGCCGGAATGGTTTTTTCGGGGCCTGGAAAAATCATTCGCTCCACCGCCACTTGACAACTGCAAGAAGGACAGGCCGCTTTTTTCGGGGCCTGGAAAAATCATTCGCCTGACCCCCTGCCTGTTTTTTCTTGAAGGGCAAGCAGGACAAGCCGGAATGATATTTTTCAGGGCCTGCAAAAATCATTCGCACCCCCCCCCCCCCCCCCCCACTTGAAGGCCTGAAAGAAAGACACTGCGGAGCATCAGGCGCATCAGAGACGAGCACTCATGAGCAACAGCAATTTTTACAGGTTGGTGACGACCCATAATGTTCTAATCCGCAACTACATCGGAAACCGTTGTAATCCGTAATGTTCTAATCCGCAAGCGCGTAATCCGCAAACCCCCTAAGGATTGAAGATTGCTTAAGACCCACCCAGATAAGTAGGGCCATCCTTTCACGACTGAACTTCCTCGAGCTTCCAAGGCCCTAACTGAGCCCTAAACCCAAAAACCTACCGAGGGGCCTTGCTGACTCTGGAATCAGCATCCAGTGCGGAAGCGACTTTGCGAGCGCTGGCGACCATAACATCCATTCGTGCTTCCTCAGGTTCAGGGCATAGAAAGCCTGAAGCAAACCTACAGTACGCCTATTCGGGGACTTTATGCCGGTTTGAGTAAAGCTGAGCTTTATGTTCTGCTCTTTTCCTAGTGCCATTGCCATGTTGGCGACATTGGAGACCGTCACCAGCACCATGCTTGCTCATGCGTTGTGTAGAATCTTGTGCTGTCCACTGTTGACAAGGTTTTGAATGTCTGTACTTCATCACAGCCAAGAGATTCAGACTCACCCCCTATCTGACCCTATCCGAGCGTCGTAGGTGAAAAGGCTGGAAATTGCCAGATCACAGTCCAATCGTGCTGGTCCACTACCAAGGCGCGCCTGGGCCTCTGAAGGAGCCCAAACCGCTGTCTTTAGGTGTGTTTTTTTTGCTGTTGGGTCTAGGGTTCATTAGAATTTGCTAGAAGTTGTCATCAAGGGTCGGATATACATTAAGCTTCGAATGCTGTCTGAACACTGGGGTCCTCATCGCCAGCTTCTAGTTATCGCTACAAGTTGCTCTGCGCCCCGCCACTTATGCTTGGTCTCTCGCTATCGGTTCCCAGGGCATCGATGCCTCCACGAGCTGACCATGAATCTCAATGGAGTCGGTGCAAATAGCACCAAGCCTGGGATGAGAAGCTGTGCAGCCATGATCTTCCAGTTGCAATACAAAAGGATATATACATTGACGGAGAGATCATCTAAGGCTTCAGAGAAATTGGGAGCTGAAAGGTAGGGCTTGTACCTTGGAGGGGATGCCGGGATGTTCCAGACTTCCTAAACCCCAAACCCTTGGCTCGAAGTTGACGCTTGGCCTCCGGCTTAGGACCCGTGCCGCCAGGCCCGAAGTACTACACAGCACCTCACAAAAAGGGGAACCCGTACTGAACAGGGAACCCACCTCATGGCAATTTTGGGATAGGGGATCCAAAAAACTGTTTAGGATCAAAGAATAATGTACTTCTTGGGGGGTCCAAAGAAAAAACCAAATTTACGGCACGTTTCCTCGGCTGTTCCTCGGAAAACTCTACTCCCTCTATATTTTGAGAGGAAATCCTTCGTTTCCTTAGGTTTTTGGCTAGAAAAATCAATTTTCTTGGTTTTTTTTGCCCTAGGAAACCTTCCACTCCCTTGATATTCCATCGGATTCGCACTAATTTGTTTAGAATTTCTTCTTCATTTTGCTAGAATCCTTCTAAATCTTGGCTTTGTTTCCTTGATTTTCCCTAAGAAAACCCTCCATTCCTTTTCATGTTTGCACAGGATCCTATAAACTTTCTGGGGATTCATACTGCTTTTCATGTGAGGAAAACCGCCACTCCCTCTATGTTTTCATCGGATTCACACTACTTTCCGTAGGATTTTGAAATCATTTTGCTCGAATTCCTCTTATATAATTTTGGCTCTGCTTCCTTGGTTTTATTGACCTTGCTCGAATTCTTCTTAAGTTTGGTACGGTTTTCCTTGGTTTTTTTGATTTTGGTCGAGTTCATATTCATTCTGGCCCCCCCCCATTTGCAAACACAATGCTCGCATGATGAGTTTCAAAAAGCCTTGAAGCAAGCTTGCACGGCTTGAAAAATACCGGTGGGGTGGGGGGGGGGCGGGGCAGCCTGCAGCCCCTCACCATTTGCAAACATAATGCTCGCATGATGGGTTTCAAAAAGAGACATGCATGCGCGCATGGTGGGTCTCAAAAAAAGTCACATGGGTGCGGGAGGGGTGCGGGGGTGCGGGGGGGGGGTGCGGGAGGGGTGCGGGGGGGCGGGGGCGTGCGGGGGGGTCGCAGCCCCGCCCATTTGCAAACACAATGCTCGCATGATTTTCCACAAAAGTCATATATATATATATGAGAGTTTATCAAAATACCTGTTCCCAGCCTTTTGAAAGGTTTATGGCAGGGCGATGTCAGTTTGCATGCTCTGCAGGGCTACAGTGTAGGGTCTACTGTAACAAGGTGTGGGGTTCGCGCTGCTTCGAGTTTAGTCCGAGTGATCACTGCCTGGGTAGGCTTTGCACGCGGAGCTCAAAGGCTGGCCACCCCAAGACAGCTCCGATGCTAGCGGCGCTTCTAAGCTTGCTCGGGGGTATCGGTCTGGGTATTGGTAGGGTATCGGTAGCACAGACGTTCGGCTTGCCCAACTTACTAAAGCCTTTGTGGCAGAAGGAAGTGGCAGGTGGAGGTATCGTTCGGGCATCGGTCACCCGCAGCTGCCGGCACAAGCCAACATGCCCGACATATTTCAACACTATGTCATGCTGCGGATGACCTCGAAAACTCTCTCGCCAATCTATAGCACGCACTGGTGTCTTTAGTATATATGTATGTAGACTATATAGACTATATTGTCAAAATATGTTATGTTTTAAAAAATATACTTTCTATATATATATATATATACATATACTATACTATATTATATATAAAAGAAATTTAAGAAATGTTTATAGACCATATATTTCTATATATATATATATGCGATGTACACTATACACTCTCTCTCTATATATATATATACTATAGATATACTCTGTACATACATATATATATATATATATTTATTTATTTATTTTTTACTATTTACATAGAATATACACACACACATATATATATATTTAACATATTTACATACACTCTATATACATATATATATATACACTCTATATATATATATACTATATATATGTACTATGTACTTCCTTTCTTCCTTCCTTCCTGCCTTTTCCTTCCTTCCCTCTGTCCCTCCCTCCCTCGTCTCTTCGTCGGAAGCACAGTAAAATTATCTTTTGATCCCAAATAAATTGTTTTTTGATCCTAAATACATTTGTTGATCCACATGCCGCCACTTTGGGATCTACTGAATCTGCTACTCATACTGCTGCTACTGCTACTGCAACTGCAACTGCTACTGCGTCTACTGCTCCTACTACTCCTACTCCTACTCCTACTCCTACTCCTACTCCTACTCCTACTACTACTACTACTACTACTACTACTACTACTACTACTACTACGACGTACTAGTACTAGTACGAGTTCTAGTACTAGTACGAGTACTAGTACTGGTACTAGACTAGTACTAGTACTAGTACTAGTGCTAGTGCTAGTGCTAGTGCTACTACTACTACTACTACTACTACTACTACTACTACTACTACTACTACTACTACTACTACTACTACTACTACTACTACTACTACTATTTTGGCTACATCACAAAAAAGCCCGGGTACATGAGGTCAGAATGGCCGCCGATGGTCTTCGTCAGAGACTCGATCACCAGGTCAGCACCCTGCATGCTACTGTTCTACTATGATAGTAGGGAGTAGGGTTTAGGGTTAGTAGTTTCTGTGATAATTGAGTAGCTGCTATATCAGAACTGGTTGCTATAGTTACAGTACAATAGTGACTACGATGACTCTCTTTAGTAGAGTCGTTTAAATTTACCTGACCTTGTCTCAACCACGAATCTGCAATGTGAGTATTTCCCCAAATAGGGATAGGGTATCCCCACAAAATGCAGCGATCCGATTTCAGGGACCCCAAAATGCGTAACCCCAATTTTGGGAACGCCCTTGTGTAGAAGGGAAAGACGAAACGCGCAAACGCACGGCATCCAGGCTGAGGGACTCTCCAAATCCCTCAGCCTGCCTGAAAGTATCTTACCATAATCGGGTTATACATAACAGAAATTAAAACACAATGGTTTCCTTACGATTCCTTCTTCTAGTAACGGCAATGAAACTTTAAGTTCCTTGACAAAAGAGGTAAACCACCAGCTGGAGAATCCTTGAGAAGAAGGCGGTGAGATGAACAAGCACGCAATGTTCCGCGGGCAAAACAAACATTACATGGTTAGGCAGGAGAGAACAGGATCACACACTTTTGCCGTTGGGGATTCTGCCGGACTGACCTGCAAGAGAGGCTGCAGCATATACGGTCCACACCATGTGTTGTCCACCACCAGATGCCTTGGTTGCTCTTGAGGTCCTGATAAATGATAACAGACATTGAGGCCCTGATGAGCGGACAAGAACTGTTTTCGAGATCCACTTCGTGGGGCAGCCCACAAGTTGTGAAGCGTGTGTCTCCTGTTCATCTTCAAGCTGCATGTAGCCTTGCAAGTAAAGTCTGAGAGCCGCCAAGTAGACGTGGAGGACACCCGTGTCTCCAAAGGCGGCCAAGAAACATTAGCCCCGCCATGTAAGATCCGATTACCAAGAGCAGTTCGTCAAGTCAGTCAAGGTACAGTTGCTGGCCAGGGTGTCCTTGGCGATAGTGCCGGCAAAGCTCGCCCAGACGAGACACGTCTGCAGGGTGTCCTGCAGAAAACGGCAAGCGACCCTCCCAGTCCACTACGAGTCATCAAGATGCAGCTTTTACGTTCGCAGATGGGGTGCTGATTGTGGGAGAGCACTCTACTGAGGTTGCATAATGGACACGACCTTCGAGAAGTACCCTTTAAGGGCTTCTACATACCTTTAGATAAAAGCACCCTCCGGCGTGTTGCAAGCTCCCAGTCATGGCAGCAGAGTTAAACATAGACCTCACAAGTCAGGGGCTCAGATGTCCTAAGGGATTCGATGCGGACTCCACCCACAGGAGCCTTGGTCCAAGACAAAGAGGTCTCATGTGTGAGATGCCTCTTCGTATACGCGCCTCTCCATTAGCAAGTTCCCCTGAGTAAAGCTCAGACCTGCAAAAGTCTAAGAGTCTAAGAAATCGGATTTGCAGGAAACCTCTCTTGAGTTCATTCCATGAAGACGCTCTGGACTTGGTCAAACACACGATATGTCATCACGTGCTCCAAGTGAAAGGATCCTCCGTATCGGGATACTTATAACCTGGGTCGGAATGCACTCGAGTGGCTCGACTAGAATATAATAATATATATATATATATATATCTATCATGTCAGACCATATATGTATGTATATATATATATGTATATGTATCCCAAGAACCGAAGATGACTGGATAACATTCGAGCATGTGTACTTCTCAACACTCTGGGCCTATGAGCCCCCATCCTGCACAAGGAGCCCTTAGCCTGGGCTTTCAGGGGCCCTCCACCATGAAAACCATCATTCATCCCCTGAGGCCGAAGGGACTAAGGCAATTACTAGAGCCCCTTGAAGAGTCACGAAGAGGGGCTTCGAGGCACCAAATTCCCTATCAAGAAGTAGCATGTACATCCCCTATCGGCTTTCCTCAATCAAACCTTAAACGGTCCAACCTGTGAAAACATGCCTAAAACCCCCTGTCTGAACATGTCTAAGCTGTCCCGAAGGATTTTGAGCCCAGCCGCCGCGTCTCTGGTCGCATGGCAGCGACGATGGCGTCTACATCGTCCAGGTCCTCGGGTATGAAATGTACGAATAATGTACGAATAGTGCTAGGAGTCGCTGTGTTACGTGTCAATGTTGAATCACAAAAGCTTCATGCCTTTTAGAGCTTGGGCTTCACAATCCGATGAAAAGGAATTCTGTCGGGATCAGAAGCTACCTTCAGTGGCTCTTGGTGAATTGCAATCGGTGTTTCGGTGGCCTCTAGATTGCCACAAAGACCTCTGATGAAGAATCTGACGCACGGGGCTGTTCTTAAACTGAAACAGTATTGATACCAGCACAAGCTAAATTTAAAGGAACAACTTCAGAATTCTTGAGGCCCCCTGCACTTCCCCGTTCCTTCAGGGAGTTTTTTGAGAGGCTCAGAACATCTCATAAACCAAGAGTCCGGGTTCCTTGAAGCCCACTAGAAGCCCCGGAAAAGGGAATTTTTCCAAGTGCTTCTGAGAAGTCCAAGAAAGTAAAGTCCAGGCCGTAGGCGTCAGCAGCAATATCTCGGAAGGCCTCGAAGGCACCTACGTAGAGCCTGTTGCTGGCAATCACCTTAGCCATCTCTTGGGGCTTGTATCCTAAAAGAGTTTGTGGTCCATATTGCCTTAATAGAAGCATATAGTAGTAGGGTATCTGATCCCAATTTGGGGGTTCATTTGTGGCACCCATGTTAGGAGTCCAAAGTCTTGACCGCGCTCAGTCACGTGATCACCAGGAGAAAGCCGATCCAGGAGAGCGTGGTAAGTGGCGGATCCACTCGCCTGGTGAAGTATAGAAGCAGTGTGTGGCAACGCAACAGCAGTCGAATTCCAACTGCTGGAATCTCTTATGCCAGGTCTCAGTCTTAAATTGACACCACTAAGTGCACAGGAAAAACGTTCCCAAATGGAACCAATGGCAAAGGCAACGGCAAACTTTGCGTTGTGAGCCTCTGCCATTAACTTCTCCAAGATGCTCTTTTCGAACTGGGGATATCCTAGACTGAAAAATCTTAAGGTTTTTTTGGGATGGCTCGTGCAATGGGGATCCAGCTGACAGGGAGTGTAGAAAACAGCCACTGCAGTAGCACTAATTAGCACTAGCAACTCGCAGCACGCAGAAAACCAGGGGAACCCATGTCATCATGCTAGAAATAGTTGTCCTAGGAGTTGTTGGCGCAGTACTGATACTCAAAGAAGTAACAACAGGTCGCGCCCCTCCCCCCCCAATAATTAACCCCTGCCCTCTTTTCTTCTTCTTTGTCTCATTGGTTTAGGGTTCTGTCTGTTTTGCTTGAAGCTGCGATAACACCGGTATTTACGATGGTTTTTGCATTTCAGAACATGTGTCGTGGCGGCATGTTTGTAATCAGATGTGTCCTTCTTGTTTTCTGAACATCCGTTGTTGGATCGATTGATTTTCTATTGCTGCAACGACACGCCTCACAGTGTTTTGCTAAGCATTTCTGATGCAAAAACACCAGTTTCAGCTCATTCTGCACCAAATAAAACAGGATTATGTTCAATTCAGTAAAATTGATGACGTGATATAATCACAACGTATACTATGAACTGTAGCTCAGCTATCACCCCCAGTAAGCAAAACCTAAACTCTATACCAAGCGGTATATAGATTATCCAACATATTTACTTTCACTCTCTCTCTCTCTCTCACTCACGCAGCTAAATGGTGGACGAGTCAACGCCTGCCTAGCTGAGCACTCTGCTCCGGGAACATGATAAAGAGTCAGTCGCCTGCGCGGAAAGGCTCTAAATTTTAGAAGACATACTAACCCATAGTTTCTGCAATTTCACGTTTTTCAGGTTTTTTCTAGCCTGCTCGAGTTTTCGAGCTTTTATCTTTTAAAAACTTTGGGTTAATTCGAGCCCGCTGGAAAAAACTCAAAATTGAGAAGGCCCCCAGGCTCATAGTTTCGAGGATTTCAAGTTTCTCGGGTTTTTTTCGAGCATGCTCGCAAATTTCAAGAGATCCAGGTCCCATAGTTTTAGTTCAAGTTTTCTCGAGCCAGCTCGAGCAAAACTCACAATTTTAAACGACATGGTTCGGTTTGGTTTGATGAGCGACCAGGACAGAGTCCTGCCAGAAAGCGGTATCACCTCCGGCGGGCCGACAGCTAGCTTGAGGATCAAACCGCAAAACAAAGAAAACCAAGACAAAACAGACACATGCACACACACATACACAAAGGACACACTGCGACTGTCATACAGGCCAGGAAACCGCCTACTCAATGCTTCGCCACGAAGAGGTCGTTGCAGCAGCACGCGGGTAGGCACCCGCAAGCCCGGGGGATGGAAGTTAGGGGTATCCATGCCTCAACTTTCTTTTCAAATCTTTGAGTTCTTTCAGATATTGTTTTTTCATTTCTTTATCTCCCGCTGACCTGATCCAATTGGTATATATACTTTTATAGCTTCTGTAAGTTTTAGTATTTATAGTATTTCTGTTGTTCGCTTCTTCGAATACTTCTCTCAATTTTTGAATACCTATTTTGCTTGGAATGATTAATGTAGGTGATGCCATATCCTGCTCTTCTGTTGTTCCTTCCTTCAAATTTGTTTTTCTGGTTAAACGGGTTCGTGGGCGTTCATTTTGTGGTGGTTGCGGTGGTTGTGGCGGTGGCGCGTTTCCGCTTGAACTTGACGAACCGCCTTCTTGAAAATTTGGCTGTGGTGGTGGCGGTGTTTTCGGTGATGGTCTGGGTCTTGCTTTTGTTCTCGGCTCTGTTGGTCGCTGTGGTATTGGACGTGGTATTGGTGGTAATTCTGCTAGCGTAGGTTGGCTTGATGATGCAATCGGTAAAGGTTGTTGTGTAGCACCGACGTTAGGTTGATGTGGTTGTAAAACTATTGAAGGTTGTAAATATTCCATGTTTGGAATTGGCATGGGGTCATAAGTTGTAAATTGACCAGCGCGAGGATCTCCTGAAAAGTCTAATAGCTGTCTGGGTGGCGGGTTTATTCTCCTCATTAATGTCTCGCCTAATGCTTGCGCGGCTTCCTGTGTAAGTCCAGCAAACGCGGCAGAAGTAAAATCCATACCGGAAATCATATTACCTGCAACATTGCCCCCTACTCGTAATGCCCCGCTTCCTGAACTTAATGCCCCGCTTCCTAAACTCCGAAGAATGCCCGAACCGCCTTCTTCCTCTCTTTCTAACTGTTGTTGGTGCGCTTGATTGATTGCTTGTTGGTTGCCTTGATGTGCGGTTGCTACGTTTCCTAATGTTTCATCGATTTGAAACAATTGTTGCTCGGGGGGTGTGCCGTATTCTTCAATAAAAGACATATTGTCGGTGTCCGTTGCAATACGAAACATTTCTGGCGATCTGGGTTGTTCTGGTTCTGGGCGGTCGTGCTCTGTAAATAATGCTCTATGTGTAAAATTGTTATCGCTAGCGTATTCGCGTAGCATATGATCCCTAACAATTCTTTCGGCAATTTGTTTTTCTTGAACTTTTAATTTGTCCAAATGATCTTTTCCATCAAAACGAGTTCCTTTGTTGCTTTGTTTATAAAATACAGCATCTCTATTAGGAAAGGGTTTTAACGCTTCTTCATCGTCATTAACCAGCTCCAAAATATCTTCATATCTCGATCTTCTGTGAAATTGTATTCCAGCATTTTTAACTACCATTCTTTTTTATATATTGTTTTAGAAAATTGTTTCACTTAATTCGCTTAATGTTTCATACCTTTTTTTAAGATGTTCCAGAGAAGTCTCGGGTATTCTTGGATTATGCATTTCCCCTTTCAATCTTGACATTTCACTTTCATAATTTGCTTTCAGCTGACCCTCTAACAATCTACGTTTAAACGCTATGTTTTTTCTTTTGCCTCTCTCGCTTCCAGTTGCTTTTTCAAATTCAGTAGATAATCAGTATTTTGTTGCCGATAAACCAGATCTTCGGGTGAATTCACGACGGGATTATCTAATGACTTTTTCTTATGTTGCCGTTTATTTTTTTGAAATTTGAACCTATTATATAGAACCATTTGTATATATTATTATTTAGATTTTTTACTTCTTGATTGAAACATTGCTTTACACATATTATCAGACTTTTCCTGTCTTCTTCTCAAAATTTCGGCGTTCATTGATTTCATTTGTAATTGCAATAATTGTTGTTGCGTTAAATTTGCATAAGGATTTGAAAATTGTTGCGGTGGCACTGGCGGAATTGCTTTTGTAACAGGCGGTTGTTGTTCTTGATATTGCGGTGGTGCCACTGAATTATTTTCATTATGTTCCGGCGCGAGAGGTTCAACGTTTATTTTTGCCTTGGTTCTAGGCGCTTGTCTTTTTACTGGTTTATCAATAATATTACTTGGTTTCTTTTCGCATTTTTCAGGATGAGTATATCTCAACGTTTTTATAGTCATCGTTTTTTACAGTCCCTACATTCAGCAGGTTCTTTTACAACGTCGCGAATTTTAACTCGTTTAGCTTCTTCCTTTTCCGGTTCAGGCATTGGTGTTTCGGTTTCAGGTTGCGCTTCGGTTGCTTCATTTTCAGGTTCATCATTGACTGCTACAATTTCCGAGCTTTGATCGGTCATATATATAATGTTCTGTATATTTTCTATTACGTTTCATGTAGCATCGCTATTATGGAAGAGGAGGCTAAAACTCAAATCGACGCCGTTGAAGTCGATAAGGTTGCCCGTTTCATCAGTTATTCTAAAAGTTAGTCGTCTTATTGAACGACGCGAGACATTAACATAATCGTAATCTGTAACGCCGTAGGGATCATTTATAATACCTGCGAAGGAAGCATTGACCGGAACTTTTTTTACGATCGCGTTTGAAAAAGACGACGGACTATGAAAATTATTATTTGACAGTTCCGGACATGATATGTATAGGTCTTGGTGATGGAGAAGCTTAATAAAGCCGGTAGTCCATGGAGCGGATGAAGTGAAACTATCGCCTACTGTAACGTTAAAACTTAACACTTCATTTATAGAGTTTAAATTATTAAGATCTACGCTGTTGGAAAACGAACCTACGAAAGATGGAACGTCGGCATCAGTTAAGGGAATAAAAGCACCTCTGCATAATTTGAGGATACCGTCATCTTGTTTGATATTGTGTTGTATGTGACGGTATAGGAATTTGACCGCCCGCCACCATCAAAGAAAAAATTCAGTTGTGTCTGAATTGCATTTGCTAATTCCGGCGGTGAGTAATTTCCGACTGGTATTTCAATACGCCTATACGTTATGCCTTGCGGTGTAGCTGGTGCGATGATTTGATGTCTAAAATATAGATTTTGATTATTTGTGTTTATTGAATACCACGTATTCGGAATGGCTAGCTCATGAACTTGCATAATAGTTCCATCGGGTATTTCAAAGGTTTCCCTTAATTCAATTTGAAAGTCGCTTATTCCACGACTGTTTGAAGTGCGGTATTTTGAATTTACATAAACTTTTTTATACGTCAATGGTCTGATACTCATAATATTGTTATATAATATAATTGATATAAATAATTTATAATCTTTTTATATAATGTCAAAAATACAATCGCAACTAAATACGATGCTAGAAAGTAACGGCAAAATTTCAAATTCACAGGGTATTAAATATGCTTACGATCGTGATAATAAAATTTTTGTTAAAGGAAATAAAATGTATGTTGGAGGAACAACCAGCGCTGTTAATTGGTTAGAAAACTTAACGAAGCTCCCTTTTGGTGCATTAGGTGGCGTCCGTGATATGGAACGATACATTGAAGCGAAGCGAGTATTGCAGGATAACCCGCAAATAACGGAGTTGGTCGGACATAGTCAGGCAGGGCCGGTTGTTTTAACGCTTGCAAAAGATTTTCCGATAGAAGTTTAAGAACGAGAACATATAACAGCCCTACATTCAGTTTAGGTTTTAACCCTAACACGGAAGAACATAAAAGATTTAGAAAAGTTGGAGATTTGGTAAGTGCTTTCGATGGAGGTGCTATGAATGTATATACTGAT